CGCAAAAGATCGGCCACGACCCCTGTTGGACTTGTGTATCCGAAGTCCCTGTTAAGACTGGCTAGAACTAAAAGCAATCTTGAACAACTGTACTCCTGCTAGTTGTTTCTGAAACAGAGCAACACAGGTTTTTTGGGATCCAAAGGGCCCCTTATGACGTTGACTGCAATCAGCCTCCATCCAGTGCTCCCACTCCTCCAACACTGGGTACAGGGCACAAAGCTGGCACACGGTGTACCTGTCAAAAATGCTGAGATGGAGGAACTATAAGGACACTATAAAGACACCTCTGCTGCTTTAGGAGCTGTTGTCATGCATGTAGGTCTTTGAGTGCGAGTGCGTTTCAAGTGAATGATTGTATGAAAAATTCTAGTCTATGTATTTGTATTTGACTGTCTGTCTGAGCTGGACTGGATAGACAGCTTTGCTTCTCTACAGGAAATATATATGAGAGGATTCACAGAATAACAAGAGGTCACTAGGGATGTGAATATATAGGAGCCTATTAGCATTTGGCTGGGATAGGAAGCAGTAGTTGTGACTTAGTAAGGGAGACCTTTATAAAGGGCCAGCAGGTGGTACTCCTACTACTAACCTTTTTTGTTACTAGCATACGGAGCACATATTGTATGGATGCCTTTTTGCCAAAACCCACTCCATATTTCACCTCACCTAGACACACAAGCTGCTATCATACACCACAACAGGTGCTGCGCATTTGCCTTATAGCTATAGCTGCACAGTTAGGTTGATATTGCTACCAGTTTTCTAAGCCATAGTCCATCATGAGGGAACAAAAAGATGGAGGGGGAGAGAGGCCAAAGAGCAAGGATTTTGTATCTGAGGAGCATGTGTGTGAGTGAGAGAGTGAGAGTGTGTGTGTATGTTTCTATGTGTGTTTTAGAAGGCATATTTGGAGGTGGGTGAGGGACTTCTCTCCTGCTACTACTTCATAAGTAAGTCTCTCCTGCCTTCCGAGAAGGTGTCATCGTAATGACGTATTTCTTTTTGTACAGAATATCCAAACCTTATTTATTTTTGTACAGCCTGTTTAATATAATCTTGTGGCTTTTCTATTATTATTGTATTTCTATTTGTTATTATTATTATTGAAATAACAGAAGGATGTAGATTATATTAGAGTATTTATACAGTATTATATATGTGGTCTTAGGTTTATGAATAAAATATCACATTGACCTGTGGCCAGATGTCATTGATGTGTCTTATTGTGGGCTTAGGTGGGGGAAGTAGGGGTAAAACATGGACGTTATGAAGAAACGAAACTATTAACTATTGCAGTTACTTAATGCTCCTTCGAGGTCTGAGTTTACAGAAGGTTCTAACGGTGTCCAGTGGGTTTGTATCACAACCAGCAAAGATGTTCACAAGTCACTTTATGAGAGTCAGAGTCAAGTCATGAGTCTTTAGTTGTGAACTGAAGTCTCAAATTATTAACAATTAAGCTATATTATTCATACTGCGCCAAAAGTAAATGTATCATTTGCAAACTTCATTTGCAAGAGTAGCCATGAGGCTAGAAAGTATGCTATCCACACTATGATTTTCTTTTGCTAGTTCCTGTAAATACAAATAAAAGAAGTCCATCAGATCAGGTTTCTGTAACCAAAGATTAAAATGCTTATCATTTCTAGCTATAGCGAACCTGACAACAACATAAGTTGCAAGAGAATGGCATCACTGTCAAAGACTGCATATGGTGGTCATTAAAAAAGTGAACAAAGTTATGTTTTTTTAAGGAGAATTCCATTAAATATTCAAAAGTATCCGATCACTGAGATGTCAACAAAGTCTTTCAGAAAATCTAAATCTTAGAACTGCCACAAAAAATGTCTCAGACATCAGGCAGCACATTCATAACCATTTCCATGTAACAACTTCTATCACCACCACTGTGAACAATTCTGATTCTGTCCCCATCTCTGCAAACACAAGTCCTCATCTCTGTTTACTCTCTATTTACTCAGTTACAACTATAGTACAAATTTGATATACTTGATATACTGTCACACCTCTCACTTTTAAGCTTTTTTTTTACCTATGCAAATTGCTATTGGGTTGCTACAGAAACCCACAGGTGCACAAAATAATAGAAACACCACATGAAATATTCTCACTGGCCATTTTATCAGGTACAGATCAGGAGTGTCCAGCCTGGGGGCCAGTGCAGCTACAGATTTTCCTTCCCACCAAGCAATAGTATACCTGATCACTTGCTTGAAGACTCACCAACTGATTAAACAAGTAGAATCTGCTTATTTGAAGTAAATCAAATCTACAGCCACTCCATCCCATTTGGATAAAACTGGCCACCTTCAATAAAGATGCATTTTGAAGGTTTACAATTACTCACATATATAATCTCCCAGCTTTCCCCTGTCCATCAGTGATAAGGAACCACCAAAGGACCACCACTCACCAGATATTAATTGAGTGGTGAATCATTCTCACCACAGCAGTGATCAATGTCGGAGTGGGTAATCAGGAGAGTTGAGAAAATTCCTGGTAGGTCAGCAGAGTATTGGGTCAATTACTGTGAGCTGATGTATTAATTTACACATATTAGCACAAGAACACTCAGACAAACTATAAATGTTACATCCAAGTGTATATTTGTAGTATATATCTGTAGTATATGGTCTGAAAACACGGCCCTGGCAGTAGAGGTGTGGTAGTATATATATATGTGTGTTGCATATGAGTGTAGGCAGTGTTGTTGGAGTTTTAACACACATCAGTGTCGCTGCTGGGCTGAAACTGACCAGTGAAGAAGCACTATAGAAAGAATAGTGAAGAAGCACTATAGAAGGCATTGTGCATGAAAAATAAAGTGGACCAAAAGTGCCAGCGCTGACATTACCAGGCCAGTTGTTCTGCAGTGCTAAGAGTGGTCCACCACTCAAATAAAGTCATGTATTTTATTAATCCTACAAACGAAAATCGTGCATAACTATGCCCAGAGCAGCACCCCCTGTTTTACCCAAGCATATAACCAGTAAGTCCTGGAATTTGAACCCAAACTTCTACCACTAGGCCACTAGCCATCTCTGGTCAGTGGTGGATCCATAATAAATTGTACAGCAACAGATGGGCTAAAGTCAGTAATTGTAAACCTACAAAGTGCACCTATATGGTTGGTGTAGCAGAGAAAATAGCCAATAAGTATCTCATGTGATATTTCCATTATTTTAAATGTCCCCCTCTGCTTTACTTCTTCCTGAGTCATTTTTCATTAAAGTCTAACTTTTATTTGAGGATGGTTTTAAGCTCTACTAGCCTCTTAGACATAACTGAGTGATTTAGTCATGCAAACTACAACAAATAGCTCGACAGAGAATGCAACAGACGAAACATCTCCACAGGCTTCAAGGTTTCAAATTTCAGCTGCCACATTGTGTCTACATTGCACATTTTATCCACAAGAGAGCAGTAAAACAAGCATAGCTCCCCTTAGAAAACCTGTAGCCCCAATAAGGAATTGCTGAAGTGCATGCTCAGATCATGAGAGTGATCTGAGTGGTGAGTACCTCAGAGAGCTGTTCTAAGCAAAACATCACTGTTGATATAAATGAGAAGAAAGATACACTAAGCATGATTTAGACCAACAACTGTGGAGGGATGGAGATGATGATCAAATGGGAGGTGAAAGCAACAGAGCAATGCTGATATAAGCTGTTGCTGTCCAGATAAATATTGCAAGAGAATGACACAACAAATAAGTCTCTGAAATAAGTGAGCCATTCATATTTTGCGTATATTATGAAGCCTATTATTGGGCTTATAAGTATAAGCAATCAAGAGAGGCTGTGCTGTAAGGACAGAAGTCTTGCGGCCTACTAGATTATCTGGTCTACATCCCACAGTTTAACATGTTGTCGTCCCAGCAGACGACAAATATCAGTGTAGAACATCAGTAGAACGTCTGAAAAACTCCACAAAGATACTATCCGAATCCACGTGCTTGGTGTGGTCGTAAAGTGGTGCTGTGACCAAAATGAAAAATGCGACCATTGCTACTCCTTCTACTGTTTGCCACAATAGTTGTAAAAGGCCAGTTTTACCCTTTAAAGACTAGAAAATGCCTTATGATTATGTATCTTGAAGGTGGGAGGAACACTGCTGACACGAAAAGGGCAGAAAAAATGTGAATTTGGTCAAACAAAAAGGCGAGGGACAGCAATTCTGAGCTAGAGAATACCACGTCAGCTGAAAAATAATATTTTATATTTTAGTTTTAGGCTGGAAGGCCCCTTTATCGACTGCTTGCACACGTTTGCTCCATTCAGAAATGTTGCAAGATTACATTAAGTGTGATTACCCTGCTGAAAAAACCCATAGAAACACCCATAGAGTGTTTCTGTTCGTTCCTGATAGTTTTGTTATATGTTTTAGCTTTTTTCATGGGTTGATATCACAATGTACAAAATCCTAATGGTTTATCGGGTGACCAGTGGCTGATTCTCAATGCATTTGATGGCTTCCTAACTTAAACAAATTCCCAGTTGTTTTTATTCTAATAGCTTTTAAATGGTCCTTTTTCCAGCAGGGTAGGCCTAATCACAAACCACATGCTCAGTGAATGCTAAGCAAGTAGGCTACGTGGTAAGTTAATGAGGGGTGATGATGAAGAAGAAGAAGACAGCTGCATGGCTTGTTTACTGCTTTTCCCCCTCAATTCACTGAGTGGCTAGAAAAAGAGATTCGTGAACACAAAAGCCAAGGGCTCTCTATATATAGACTTCAGGGACAGAAGACCTTGATGAAGAGGAGTCATCATTTGAGCTGAGTAGCTCTCTGATAAACACGATACGGAGGTCCTTAAACCGCCGTGGTCGTGAGGCGAATTCAGTGTACCTGGCGTGATTGGGCCTAAACGTTTCTTTGATCATGGCATGGCATGTCGTGACGGTGGAGGCGGTGACAGTGTTTTGTCTGAGAAGCCGTGAGCAGCGCTGGCAGTTCAGCATGCTGAGCAAACG